ACTCATTGAACAGAGGCAAAGTTCTGGGAGGGGGGCATCTAAATAAAGAGTTGGATGTGATGACTTCCTTGAATGTTTGGGAAGCGGTTCCTCTTACTCCAGGTATGAAAACTGTTGGCACTGCCTGGGTCTTCAAAAAGAAAATTGGAGACAATGGAACGGTCTTCAAGGCACGCCTCTGTGCACAAGGATTCTCACAAACTCACTGCATAGATTTTTCAAAACCTTTTGCCCCAACTGGGTGTCTCAACTCTCTTTGGGCACTCATTTCTTACGCGGCTGCCAACGGTTTGGATTTCCAGCAATTGGACGTGAAGACAGCGTTCCTTAATGCTGATCTCGACAAAAAAGTGTATCTTTCCGTCCCGCAAGGCGTCTCTCACGACAAAAAGAAAGTTTGTCTCAAATTAAAAAAGGCTATTTATGGCCTCAAGCAAGCTCTGCTCGCATGGTATAATCGCTTGTTGGAATGGCTTGTCTCGGTCGGCTTCTCTATATCGGTCGCCGATCCTTGTGTATTCTTTTGACTTGGAGAAAATCCAGTATGGCTCTTCATCCACATGGATGACATTGTTGTATTTGGAAAAAATATATCATCCTTTAAATCTGAAATCAAACAAGAATTCGACATGAAGGACATGGAAAAGGCCGATCTCCTCCTCAGAATCAAAGTCCTACACAAACCTTCCGCCATCATTCTCTCACAACTCCATTATGTGAATTCATTGTTATCTTTATATGGAATGACGTCCTGCAAAACCGTTGCCACTCCTCTGGTTCCTAATAGTCAGCTTGATAATGCTTCACAGGAAGAGATGGACCGCTTCAACTCTTTGGGTGTCAACTATCGCAGCGCAGTAGGCGCTCTAAGTTATCTGAGCTCTGCCACTTGTCCTGCCGTTGCACATGCGGTAAGCCAATTGTCTCAATTCTTGGAGGCTCCTGGAATCCTTCACTGGGAGGCCTTCACACACGTGCTCCGTTACCTTGCTGGGACTCCCAAACACGCGCTCGTCTATGAACGTGACTCATTCAGTCCTCTGGAAGGCTATTTTCTCTTGTTCCATTTTGTTCCATGGTGATTCCAACCACAAGCTGGCCACTCCCCATATTTTGTATATAAGGAGCCTTGTTTTCCCCTCTTCATTTGTTCCTCATCATATCCTGCCCCAGCAATCCAGATAACTGATCACCCTTCATTAGCCTAGTAGTTGCCCATCAACATTTGGGGTACTAGTATTATTCAGACAGAAGACCAGAGGACAGAAGACATACCCATCTCAAGAATCCTCCAAAGCCACACCTTTCCTTAAGAGTCCATACTCTTATCTTTTTCTTGTTATCTTACTCAACCCAGTTACCAGAGAGGCAGCCCATTAAAGCATCCTTCCCTCTCCAGCTCTATTCATCCCAAAGAGCAGTTCCACACCGGTGGTTTGCTATCTTCCTGTGAGGCGGAATATCGCGCACTTACCGACTTCTCCTGTGAATTGCTTTGGATGCGTCAACTGATCATTGAAATTGGCCTTGGCGCATCGCAAGAGGCTACCATTGTCCATGAGGACAATCAAGGCTGTATAGCTGTGGTGAAATTTGATGCCAATTCGAACTCTCGCAGAATGAAGCACGTAGAAATTGAGCTTCATTTTATTCGGGAAGTCATAAAAAACAATAAGATTGTTTTGAAATATACTCTAACACACGAGATGTTGGCCAATTTCCTGACCAAGGCAGTTCCTTTTCCAGCGCTCATGAAGTCTCTTAAAGCTTTAGGTCTGTTTTGTCTTGAGGGAAGGGGGGGTGTTGATGTCTAAGCCCCACATCGTTCCTATCTGGCCCTTAATCTTATTTTTCTCTCAATACCGAAATCAACCCGCTCTCAAGCTTTTGTGATGACATCACCTTGGTCAAGCCCTCTTCAAACATTCATAGCGTGGTGATGACATCACTGCGCCCAAACTCTCTCGTATGATCCCTTTTCTTCTTCTTTATCTTTTGAGCTTGTCTCTCTAGGATCATTTGTCCCCAGCAAGCTTCTTTTCTTTGTCGATTTTTTTATCACTCGACTTTGCTCCTCACTTCTCTCTCGTCACTTCTCTTGCGACTGAAAGCTTCCTTCCTCTTCTTAACTAAAGAGCTACATATCTTATCTTCCTACATCCTTTAAGACCGATTCCCTCATCCTTGGTCTCCATACTTCTTCATCTTCCTTTGAACAAGTAATCCTGTCAATTCTTATATTGATAATTCCCTTCCGCTCGACAACTTGCCAATTACTCTTATTAAGGAACATCTTCATCTCTTTCTCTCTTTCTTACTTGTTGTGGCACTGCACTAGCTTGTTGTCTTTTTTCTTAGTCATCTACTGCTTTTAGGTGATTGATTATTTCTTCTTTCTTTGTGTCAACTTGTATTTTATTAGCTGGTACTTATGAAATGCCATCTTTTAGTCTATCCATTAACAGTTTGGTTGTACAGTCTCCTCCCAGATATTTATGGCCACCTTTTTTCAGCTACACACAGGGAGCCCAAAAACTTCAAGTTACAAGAGTTGGTGTAATGGTAAACAGTGGGTCTCAAAGTATTGAAATTTTGCTGTGATTCTGTCAGACACTGAGACACTAGCCCAGGTGTCTACAATAGAATGTAAACCCCTTGGGTTACATAATAAATATGATCCCAGGTAATCTTTAAGTTAATAAGTATTGATTGATATTATTTATTATTATATGTATTTTTTATGTTAATAATTATTCTGTAAATTAATAAAGATTCACCTCGTTATTAATTTACCTCTTCCATGAAAGTTATACTCAAGTTGAAAAGGATAATTATCTCTTGGGTGTATCCAAGAGATGATTATCCTGTTTATCTCTCTTGTGTGAATATATATTATGTTTATCTCTCTTATGTGTATTTTCTGAAATAAAGGATATTCATCACATGTACATTTAACATGCTCTGAATATCCTGACACTTTCCCCCAAGGAATAGTGCACCAATAAGGGGACTGCACCGGTCCCAGCAGCAGTTTGACCCCTGCTCTGTAATATTTAAGAGGATGGCTCTCCCCCTGAGATTCATCCCCCAGACAATATTACCATACAAACCCAAGTGCCTTACTAGTTATTACAAACAAATTAGTGAGTTTTCTCTCTATCATCTTACTAGCCTTATAAGTTACCTATTTAACTTATAAGACTAGTACAAACCTCCTTTTCCTTATTATCCTTCAGCTCAGGCACAGTGAAGCTCATCCCACTGCTGTCCCTTATTATTATAAGGAGCTAGCCCCTCCACTGTACCAGTGTTGAGGAGAGGCTTAATTCCACTGGCCCTCTTGGCTATAGTGTGACCCACTTCTCATCAACTCTAGGTCACATAAGAGACCAGAGCTGACAGATTCCCTCTCTCTCTCTCTCTTTCTTTGGTGGCGTCAGCAGCACACTAGCGGATGTTGCCGAAGTCCAAGAGCACAAGCGCTTGGGACTCCTAGCCAAGCTGAGTGGTTGGGCCTGGAAACCGCCAGCGGTGGGCAGATACGTTACGGTACGTTACAGCAAGGGATTTGGAGAACGTAACTTTTTTTTAGTTATCCAAATCTGTTGTTTTTGTAAAGTAACTAAATTTGGTTGTAAAGTAAAGTAACGTAACCAATTTTATTTTTTCCATATATTTTTTTGGGGTAACGTAACTTACTTGGGTGGAGGGTGTTATGAGAGTTTGAAGGGTAAAATCATATTGCATATAGCTTAATGTTCAAAGAGTGCCTCACATGCACATTGAATATGTGGAGGTTGTGGGTTCAATTCTCACACCAGACATCTTTTGACCTGGCTTGCTGGTGAAATGATAATCACTGATTGGTTTATGATCATATTGTGCGAATTACCTCGCTCCTAATGAACAAAACCATCAAGAATCAGTGTATCTCCAGCAAAGTTACCCTTAAGTTATCCAAATATTGGAAATTCTGTAACGTAACCCTGTTTTGTTCAGAACTTCTGGGAACGTAACTAGAAAAAAAAGGGGCCTTTTGCTCCAGTAGATATCGTAACTGAAATAAAGATATCTGTACACCGCGGGTGCAAAATTTTTTGAGTTCAACGTCAGCCGACTCTGGCTGGGCAGTAGACGTCAATTCCTGAGCAGCTACGGCTGATCCCTGTATCACAAAAGCCTGAACGGCCCACACCCATCTGCAGACAGCCCCCACACAGCAAGCCCCCAGGCTCACAACTCCTGGCTGTCATGACTGAGATCCCGTCCCCATGCGGGCTCGGAGACGCTGCCAAGACAGCAGAAAATCCTACCCGTCTGAAGCGGTCTAAATAAATGAGGCACATCTGGCAGTCGGCGTATCTACCGCCCCGCACCAGCGGGCACCATCACTCACAGCATCTGCACGGTCTAGCACAAAAGGAGAACGGGGTCTCTGTTGGGAACTAACCACTCAGGCCTGCAATACCCACCGCACCCTCTGCTCACTGGGAGAGGCGGTGTGATTTCCGTTGTGTATGCAGAGGCTCTGGGTGATCTACCTTCACAAACCGAGTGTTGATCATTGCCCCGTACTTATTGACATGCTTCAGCTTCAGTGTGAACACTTCAGAATTTTTCTGCAGCCACACCACCATCAACCCATCACATTATTCCAATTTCTCCAACTGTTTCCCAGGCAAAAAAACAACCAACATTCCCCCACTGCTAACTTCAATTCCACCCAGTACTATTGCAGATGTCGACCACCATATTCAACCATGAGCAGTAGCATTGAGGGCAATGGATGCTTTGCACTGTTGAGTGTGAGTACTGACCCTGACCTTGCCGAGGCTTTTGATGAAGCTGACATTCTAGCAATATGTTTGGCAGCATTCTTTACTCCGATATAGACTTGAGTTCATCTAACCCCCCATCGAGGAGGAGCTCATGGCCCAATTTGTCTTGATGGCACAAAAACGACTGGCCACAACTGGCCACTACAACAACCAACACAGGATCTGGGGACGAGTGGTTGTCCACAGCTGGATGCACAACCCAATCTTTTCATATGTTGGCCCTCTGTTAGCTGTTCGAGTTCGCCCTTGAGGCAATTTTTTTAAATGTTTTATTTCACCTTGTGACTGCTTTCTATTGCTTCAGGGGGTTGATATCGAGTGCCGTACCTTGCCCTTCGCAAATCTAATTATAAACATACATGTATATTTGTTCAATCTTTAACATACTGTGCCCCCCCCCCCCCGAGAGGGATAGATTCTTAGTGCATGCCGTCGGCGGCACCAAATGCATGCATTGATCATGCCTTTGGCCGGGATAGACTGTCTCATCCCTCAGCCCAGGCCACTTGGTACAACAGCCAGACAGTCGGACCATGCGTGTGTGTGAGCTGGTCATTTGCGTGTACTTCTCCGCTAGATGACGGCCCTCTTGGCAAAGCACGTTGTTGTTGCAGGGCAGCGCTGGTTGGGAGACGGTTTCTAAGCTACGTCTGTGGACGAAACTGCCCGACGAGCGCAAGCGGTCACTTTTGAGACGGCTCCTGGTGACCGTCATTCAGACCTTGTACGGAGCCCGTGTATGGGCCGTGGGGGCTTGCGCGGAGGGTCCTGTCTCCTGACGGTCAAAAATGACTGTTGCACTGACGGGATTCTGCACCCGGGGTGTAACTTGTGGTTAACGTAACTGTAAAGGTTACGTTACAGTCAACGTTATCCATTTGGGTAACGTATCTGCCCATCACTGAAACCGCCCTGCTCCCCTCTAGAGCACAAACCTAAGAGCTGCTCAGGAGAGTCGGTATAAAGTCTTGTGCCCCACTCAGCGCTTGTCTTTCCATCTACATCAGACTTTCTCCTTTCTCTGGACGCGCCAGAACCAGTTTTTTAGCCTTTTTTCACACTTCAGAAACAGAAACATGGTTGAAGAAATGTTATCAAAAGCAACACAAAGAATGAAGAATATACAACAGAACAAACAACCTAACAAGAGTAACACAAGCCAGGTGGGTTCAATCACAAGTCAGGTGGGTTCAGTCCGGGAAGGAGAAAACACAATTGGTATGAGCAGCCAACAACCGACTGACGGAGTTGGAGCAAAGCACTTAAGTCGTTAGTGTTTTGATTATTGAAATATCCCTGGCAACAAAGTGGCTGTTAGCTGAGCAGGATGTAATGACAAATCCTAGTTGTGGATTCTTTGACAAATAAAGATCCTATATCAACTGGCAGCAGCACAGAAGACAAGGCTAACAACACAGCATCCAAGGACAATGAGGTGATTGAAGTAAAATTAACGAAAGGTAAGCAGCTTTGACATATCACCTTGGCAGAGTAGTTTCCGAGAAGGGAAAACCTGAATAACATATTCTCAACATCATGTCTGATTAGGCAAACAGCCGGATGTCGTATCTACATACCGTTGTGGTAAGCCAATCCTGAAGCTCCAAGCACATTAAGAGCAACAAATCACACAAGAATCACAGGATCAAGACCCCTCAGGAATTCTCCAGACCCTCACACAAATCAAGATACCACTCATGAATCCCTCAAGCACAGACCACATGGATAATAATATTTCCCAGCCAGAAACTCCCCACCCTTGAAACTTACTCCCCTCCAAACAATTCCATTCTTCCTCCTCCTTGTGTCTCACACTAGTAACAATCCCCTTGGCCATGAAACTGTTATCTCCTCCTATTTTCTTCCATGGAATATTCCACCTCTTGGTTGTTTCATACTAGTAAACTTGGGAGCATTTTCCCACTGCTTGTTTCCCCTGTTTTCTCTGGATGAATATTTTCCCTTGTTTCATACTCTTCATAAAATTTTCCACTTATATTCCAACCACAAGCTGGCCACTGCCCAGAATTTTGTATATAAGGAGCTTTGTTTTTCCTCTTCATTTGTTCCTCATCAGATCCTGCACCAGCAATTCAGATAACTGATCACCCATTATTAGCCAGGTATTTGCCCATCAACATTTGGGATACCTTGATTTGTGAACAAGTATATTTAGACTAGTAAACATAAGACATATTAGACATACCATTCTTCCAAAGCCACACCTTTTCCTTAAGAGTCCATACTCTTATATTTTCTTGTTATCAGAGAGGCAGCCCATTAAATCATCCATCCCTCTCAAGCTCTATTCCTCCCAAGAGTAGTTCCACAGCGGTAGCAAGCAGCGGAGCTGTCCACACCAGTGGAGGCCTATGACAGATGTGGCAATCCCCACATGGTGAGTTTTCAAATTTTGTCTTGAAAGCCAGTTTTTTGTGCATTTTTCTCCCTATGCTCTTCCTCTTCCACTAGTATCTAATTTCCTTGCGGACCAAGGAGGGTCTACTTCTTGTAAATGTTTCCCTCTGCTCACATTATTTTGTCATGTTGTCAATTTTGATAAAGCTATTTTTGAAAATGACAACTTTTCAACAAAAGTTGAGTTTTTTTTGGTGAGCGCGAGTTCATCAAACCGCTTATGTCAGCATAAAAAAATATCAAACATAGATTTTAGAAAATCAACATTAATTAAAGTTTTGATGTGCAACTTCTGAGTTTTGGCCTGATCAATAAGATCAGGCAGCACCATGAAAGATTTGAGGGCAGCACATGTCAGGTGACATGAAGCTAACTCCTGCCTGTATTCCAGTGTTACTTCAAAGTCAAAGGGTTGGGACAGGACCCTGGAAACCCCCCAAATATGTGGGTAATGTAGACCCAGATGAACAAAAAGCCAACTTGACCTTCAACCATACATCAAATTGGGATGGTTTTCACATCAGGACATGTACAAGGAAAAGGTGCATCTTGTACATGTCTTCATTAGTTGTGAACCTGCACCAGTGACCCTTGAGAAGCCAAAAACTGGAAAAAAATGTATGATTTTTTTTTTTTAGTTTTTGGCTTCTCAAGGGTCACTGGTTCAACTTCATGACTAATGAAGACATGTACAAGATGCACCTTTTCCTTGTACATGTCCCCATGCTGGAATGATCCCAATTACATGTATGGTTGAAAGTCAAATTGGAGTTTTGTTCATCTGGGTTTACATTACCCACATTTTGGAGCGCTTGCCAGGGTCCTGTTGGGACTCCCTGATGACCACAAAGGAAACTTTGTTATTTGAGCAGACAAGCACCAGAGTAGCAATGGAGTTGTTGAAATTGTAGAACTTAGGCGCGCAAGAGGTGGAGGGCCAAAAAATGAGGATTTTATTTTTTTGGGAAAGGTTCACGGAAAAAGAGTGTAAAGAACCAATAATTTTAGGGGCTTGGTTAATCGACTCCCCAAAATTGGAGAGTCGACTCCCAAACCCCGAAACCCCCGAAATTAGGGAGTCGATCCCCCAAAACCGTCGACCGGTTTGGGAGTCGACTCCCTAAGAATTTAATAAAATAAAAACAAAAACCCCCGGTTGGTTTGGGAGTCGATCCTCCCAAACCAACCAGGGTTTGGGGGTCGATAAACCAAATCAACCCCCACCCCACGGCAGCGGCCGGGAGGATGCCTCCTGGCCGCAAGACCGCATTCTCAACGGCCAAGAGGGGAAACGCTCTCGGCCGTTGAGGGTATGTACACTCGCGAC